CGGTAAAATGGGATTTATATTACTTACTCGAAATGAACTTTTTTTGTTTTAAGAAAAATACAAAGAAATTAATGTTAAAAGATTAACTCCTTTTCATAAATTTTTGTCAAAAAGTACATAGGGAAATGGATGGATTGGGTGATTCGAAGAAGGACGTGTAAGTGAGAGATTTTGGTTTTAAGCTTCCCACTTACGCTATTAAAATATATAAATTCAAAGTGTATGTAATTAGACTAATTTTTGGGGATTATTTATTCTAACATGGTCGACATTATTGATGAAATATGGCATCAGCAGAACCTAACACTTTGGAATTCATCTGTCCCAGAATTTCAAATGGTAACATTTTTCCTTAAAATTGGAATATTTATTTTAGGGAGGTAAGAGCATCCGGTGGAATTGAAATATGAATTTAGCTAACGGGTGTGCAATTGGCCCACGTTGAAATATCAGCTTGGCTAACCGGTGTTCTAATGGCCTTCACTAAGTGGGGCGTTAGGCATTAATTTTTGAAAAAATGTAATTAATTTGAAAAATTATATAAATTCAGGGGATATAATAATTGTGATTGTGTGAATTTATATGGTAAGTTAGATGTAATTTAGGTACATTAACAAATATCCACCTAGATGGGAACCTTCACAAAAATCCCAAGGCATTGTTGTTTTGAGAGAAGGGCAGGGAAAGGAAAGCAAACGGAAATGGAGGGATAAAGTTTTTAAATTTTGGATTAGTTTTTGAGGAGAGAAAGAAAAGGATTTGGAGGGAAAGGGAGGGATAAAATTAGTTATTTTTTATCAACCTGTTTCATGTCCAAATGTGGGCAAAACAAAGGGAAACGACACCAAATTAATGAAAATTTCAAAATGTTCTAAAAACCTATCATGTATTTATAAATTAAATTTTAAATTATGGAAAAAAATATAATTGATGCATGATAGTTTTCTTTCCTTTCCTCTCGTAATCCAAACAAAATAGACAGACTTAGATTTCTTCTACTCCCCTTTCTTTTCTTTTCCACTAGAGTCTTCTCCTTTCCTTTCCTTTCTTTCAATCCAAACGGTGCCTAAAAGAAAATACAAGATGGTGCGACTAAAAGTTCATACCATTCCTATGGACTGTCAATTGCATCAAAACACGAACTTTGTCTATATAATGTGCACACTTTGTGACTGATTTCTGTCGAGTGCTTAGCCCATGATTGTTAGTGTTGCTTGTTGGATAGTTTACTCTCAGTAAAATACTTTGAGATTTTAGGCCATAGTATATACTTATGGCTTATAAGGTGCATTACTAAGACAAAAAATACCAATCAGCAACAACGGTAATATTGGGTTTAAATGATACAATACACTAGGATAATGTGCATTTTACCGACTTCATGAATGTGAAGAACTAAATATTATGTATTAATTATTTGTTTTTTTTTCCGGATATATTTGGCTTCAATTAGCGCTCAAACTCGAGATCTCACAAGTAGACAAAGAAACCATATTTTTTAGGTATGGTTTCTCTTTATTGCTAGAGTTGGTATCAAATGTACTTAGGAGACTGAGATACCTTAAACAACCTTAAGCCAGGGCTATGAGCTATAAAACAAGAAGAGGATGAACTACTAGAAGAAGAATATGGGCATAGTAGGGCTGTCAAATAAATTGAGTTGCTCGCAAATAGTTTGAGTCAAAACTCGATTCAAGTTAGGTCAACATCGAACTCGAATCGAGTTCGAGTTAACTGAGTTGAACTTGAGATCAAAGATACTTAACTCGTTAGTTCGCAAATCGACTCGATTTTATATATTTATATTTATATTTTTTATTTTAATAGTAAAATTACATATATCCTTAATATTTTATTATTTGTTAAGAAACATTACTATTTTATTCATTTTTAAAAATATAAAATAATTATTTTTTATTTTTTTAAACTCAAGCTTGAGCCCTACAATAAGAACTCGTTGATTTTGAGTAGGGGTGGCAATTCGGGTCCAAATCAGGTTGGCGGGTCGGGTTCGGGTCAACCCGCCAGAAAATCTGTTGACCCGAACCCGACCCGCCAAACCGTAACGGGTCAGGTATGCTGACCCGAACCCGAAAATTTCAGGTTGACGGGTTGACCCGAAATGACCCGAAACTTAATTTTAATTTATTAATTTATCACTGTAATTTCTAATAAAATCAATTTCTCACAAAACTAATTACATAATCAAGTAATAAAAATTTAAATAAGTAATTTCAAACCAAATCTAAAATAAATTAAACACCGTAAAAGTGTTTTATCCCAAACAAAATATAAAATAAATTAAAACAGTATAAAAGTAAAAAATAATATAATATATTATTTGTCCAAATATAATAATTTCAACTTCACACAAATTAAATAAAGTCATTTATGATTAAGTAATTAATGCCTTTGAAAAAAAGAATAACTTAGGTTAGTTAGATAAAATTATATTTATATTTATTAAATTATTTTTAATTTGTAAACGGGTCATATCGGGTCATATCGGGTCACCACGGGTTGACCCGAAATCGACCTGTTTTCTTTTCGGATTCATCGGGTCCAACCCGATTCTGACCCGAATTCCCAAAACCTCAACCCAAACCCATTAATTTCGTGTTAGGTTCGTGTCGTGTTTTCAGGTCGTGTCGAAAATTGCCACCCCTAATTTTGAGTTTGATAAAATTAAATCAAAACTCAACTCAATTAAACAAAAATTTGACTTGACTCAACTCGTTTACAAACCTAGATATAGAGTTACAATAGTGACAGGTTGTCGATGCCTGTGCAATAATAAAACCTGCTCAAACTAAAAGTAATTTCTGTAGATAACGGTAAGCAGGGTCGAATCCACAGGGACTGGGAGTAATTGTTCCTTTTCAAATTCACAGTGACAAAGGGGAGTGTTTTTATATCAGGGGTGACAACTCAACTAAAAGTAAAATAATAAAAATAAAATAGCCAACTAGAAATTAAAAAAACACAATTTACTAAAATCAAAGGATCTAGCCAAGGAATAACTTCAGCAATGGTTCACCTAATTGATCATTGATAAGCAAAGGCAATTCCAATTATTTACTAATAAATAGGTTATAACTGCCAAACAAGCGATGGCAGTCAGCCCCTCCTTACTGTGTCGGTGATCAAGGTACGCTCGTTAATCACTTCTTTAATTGGAAGAACAATCCTAGGTACGCCCATAAGATTTAATTTCCCAATTGCCTTACGTATTAGAGGAGCCCTATTCTAATCAAATAACGCACTACCAGGGTTATTTCAGATTAGCCCGCGTATCCCCCTGACACGAATCTAATCGTGCCAGTTGTCACTATTTCAAGACAATTAAACAATTACGAATTTAATGTCCTAATTGACAGTAGATTATCCAATCAATTAACCATCCGGATCCAAGACAATCAACTAATTAAATGACCATAAGCATAGCAATCAAGGAATATGCGAATACTAATAAATAAAAGAAAAAAATTAAATTAAATCGATCTTACAATTTGTAGGCGAGCCAGAGCCTTCGTTATTTCTTGACTAGAATGAGGAAATTAGTTCATATTTGATGAACTGAGTCCACACAACATTGAAGAGAAGCCAGCGGCCATGGTCCGTTGAAATTTAGCAGAATCCAACTCGTCTCAATATATTGAATGAATAGAAAAGCTACAAAAGTTCATAGTTTTCACTCCGTCTGGCGCACAACAATGAAGAAAAGACTACTAAAAGCAACTAAGGAAGAAAAGTCCAAGCCATGAATGGCTAAACTCCTGACATTCGTAAGTCCCAAGAGCTACTAAGAAGCCAAAGAAAAGTCAAAGGCAGCAAGTCTTCATTGTTCCTGCCATGCGTTTCCGTTCTTTGGTCAAAAGTCTAAAAAGGAAGAAGAAATCTAATTCTAAGCTAGAAGCTGCTGCCCCTTCTTCTGCACCATTTTCTCTTATATCCTCCTGTTCCGTGCGGCGGCTCCAGGGAGAAGAACACTTTTGGCACAATGACCGAAAAGGGCTCATGTCCCTACTTCCCAAAAATGCCCTTTCGAGCCTTCTATTTAATTAATTTCCCGATGATTGTCAAATTGGCCTTAATTGTAGTATTTTCATTCTACTCCCTGAAATAAATGTAAATTACGAAAAGTGAGTAGAATCCAATAATTAATTCACATCGGGTCAGGTAATAGAAAAAATTAATAATAAAATAAATGATAAAATTGCACCCTATCAAATAGCTCTATGAATTACCGTAAGACATAGAGAATAGAGAGATTGGTACATATCCTCTTAATAGTTAATTCCCCTCGAGGCAACTCTGGTATGATTGAGCTAAAGCTCATTGTGCCTAGCAAAGGGGGTGTAAGTACAATGTTTTACTCTTTTTTCCCCTTTTTTTTTTTCTTTTCTTCAAAAGAGGATTAATACTGGTTCAATTTACATGGGTTCAAATACAATGTTTTACTTGTTCAAATGGTTCTGCAAAATTTATTTTTCAAAACCAATTATGGCAATCCAAGCTTTACTAGTTTTGGGCCCTAGATTCATTTTTCTCAGTTACGTAGACCACTGAACAGAACTCTTTTTTTTTCCCTATTATTTCATTTTTCTTTTGTGTGAAATTTTGACCACGAAATATAACTAGAAGCATCTGGACCTGTCCATATTAAACACATCTATAGGATGGATTACTGAATAAAAACGAGCTTACGTATTTTGCTAATGTGCCTTCTCTACAAAGTGGCACAATTCAAAGGAATTCTTACGCAGGTAGACAAACTAAATTAAAAAAGAAAAATTGAAAAGGGAGATATACCACCTTTTTATTAATTTTTTTAATTTGGTAAGTCTTTTCTTTTTGAAAGGTTAGTTTGGTAAATCAACTCAAGTAATGAAGTAACAAAAGTATAAGCTTTAGGGGTTATATATTGAAATCAGCAAATTTACTGAAGAAAAATAGGTCCTTGTGAGTACGAAGCAACCACTTGCTTCAGAATCACAATAAAATCACAAATATTCATTACTCACAAATAATATTTATTTCTGTTGTTCAACCTTTACAAACATTGCTTGTGAAACTAACAAGCATTAGCTTTATAATGACATAGCACTTAATAGCACACATTTATTCGTGCATCCATTTTAGAAGACACCATAGCAACTTCAAACACGCTAAATACTTAGAAGATATGTCTCTCTCTCTCTCTCTCTCTCTCTCTCTCTCTCTCTCTCTATATATATATATATATAGATGGTTCAAGCATTTTTGATGTGATGAGATTCAATGTCTTCAACCATGTGAAGGAAAAAGTTGAGCAAGGTTCCTGGATGTGGGGTATCTTCCTTCAGCTTCTCATAGTCGAGAGTCCATGTAATCAAACTTTCTTTGTCACCAAGAACATCAACATGGTATATGATAGTGAAGGTCTTGTACAGCTCCATGAGATCTCCTTCAATCATCTTAAATACGATTGATTTCTTTTCTTCATTTATGTCTTGAATAATCTGCTTTGCCACCCTATCTTTCCCGTCTGTAAAAATGAAAAGTAAATCAATTACAGACTCTCCAATTCCTAGTCAACATGCTGGTAATCCAAAAACAAGGTTTGCGGAATTCTTTCTTTTCGGTTTTTAGGGATAGACAATACTATTCACACAACCAGGGAAGAATTCTCGTTGTGAAACATCTGGTATATCGCATAAAAAACTTGAGAAAAGCAAAAGAAAAAAAATTCTGTAGTATTAATTAATTGAATTCTTTACGAAGATGGACTTCCTTAATTAACCTCTGTAGTTTCCACAATCAGATTATTGTCTTCGTATAAATACTAATAATAATATTAATAATACGGTTAATAGTAATAGATCTAGTCCGTTTTTCATTAAAACTTTTCCCGAGGCAGATATTAAGCTTTTATCCTTTCTTTTTCCTGGCAAATAAGTTAGATAACTAATTGTGTGCCAGTTCAAAGCAGGGAAAAACGGATGGAGAGAGTTTAAATCAACTTAGTCCAGAAGCTGACCAACACGCAACAAAAGCTAAATGAATAAAGGAAAAACAAGAAAAACTGCGGGGAAGAAAGAGCTTTGAATATTGATTCCATACCATGGGTATAATGCCAGCAGATTTTGGATCCAACAGTTCCAAGATCACCACCAAGCAAAGTAAACCCTTGAACTTTCTCAGGAGTCATGGTGGCAAGATGGTGTGGTCTTTTGCTGAAGACATCATGGAACACATCTCCAGCAGGGCCATGGATGTTAGTTTGACCAATCATTTTACCTTTGAGCCCCATTTTTTTTTCTGAGAAACTGAGAAGGAAATGACCAAATACTGCTGCAGCAAAAAAATGCAAAGAAATATTGAAGGAAGTCTCAGTTGTGGTCTGCTAGACTATCCCTCTGCTCCTTATATAGTATAGAACTGATGGGTGACTTCACCCCCCACCTCCACCCCCACCCTTTCTTTTTTTTAATTGGGGTCTATAAACCACGTAAGAGGAACCAATTATCTTCGCCGAAACTATCATTTTTTTCCCTAGTTCTGACATTGTTAGAAACTTCTTTTTTTTTTTTTTAATTCATGAGATGTTGTATTGGTACATCAGCCCTAATAAATGATACTCAGCATCCATTAAAATGTGATTATCCTCATTTTCTATTAATCTATAATCATATTACATCTATAGTTTTGCACTTAGGGTCAACAGACTCGACATCATTCATTTTTTTAATGCCTACAACTAAGGTTTTCTTGTGGGCAACTTAAATTTTATTTTAATCGATATCTCTTAGTCTCATTTTTGCTTTACGACAAGAATACTTCACCAACATTGGATAGAATGAAGGCCATCCTTGACAAATTATTTTGGAGAGATCTACTTCTCTTGTCCATGGCAAAAACGACTCTCCAGTAATGACTCTTAGAAGTTGGTTAACACAATAAATGATATGAATTCATGAGTTTGGGATAGTTGGCAAGTAGGTTGCTAATGTCAATAGGAGATCGCAAGTTCGACTCCTGCACGTGGCGTCTTGAAAAACTCTAGTAAGATGCTCATCTCCGAATAAAAGTTAGACTTTACGGATGCTCCTTGGATCGAATCCGGATTAGTCTCACGAAGAGTGGGAATATTGGGTGCTTAAAGCAAAATAAATAAATAAATAAATGATATCCTCTTCTTACATGGTTTGTGGTAGGTGATAACTGAGGCATACTATTACCAAATGGGAAATAAACTGATGCCATACCACTTCACATGATTCACACAACACATAAAATTTCTTAATTGTTTCCGGCACTTGGGCCATATTTCATGGGTTGGTCAACTTGGGATCCTTATCAAAGATTAATTGGCAGACAAGTTAAGGTCTTATTTGGATTACAGTTATCTTAAGAATTTTTTTTACATTTTGTGTGAACACATTTATGAATCATATTTTTATTTCATATATATCAAATTATTGCAACATATTTTTTTTTTTACAAAAACTTTTAAAAATAGTAGTCCGATTGGGTTCTTACCTATTTAAGACTTCGATGTTTCGCTACCAAAAAAAAAAATACAATTAAAAACTCGTCTTATGTGGATGCGGGGCACTGGTGAGTGAAGCAAGACCAACGCCGTGGTGTAATATGGGACATTGACTTCAAAATTTGGAATTCAACTATCGAACATCAAATTAAGCTCATCCGGTCCAATCATTGTAAATTGGATGATTGTTTTGGTTCAACCGCACCAACACTTAACCCATTTTATGTGCGCTGAGGATGGCCCTCCCGACTCGGCCATATCGAGCTCAACCCTTTGTTATTTGGGATGGGTCGCCACAAGTCTTGGTTATCTCGGCTAGACATCGCATACGGATAATTGAGGTGACTCCCACATTCATTGGTACCTCGGATTGGTGCTGTGCTTGACACGACATCCAAAGTCTTATCAGAGAACTTGATACTTGCATGGCGGACAAGACATCTGATGGGACCTGTCTACTGCTCCATCTTGTCAAATCAGACTGGACATGCTTAGTCCCTGCCAGGTCCTAGGAAGTTGAAACCCACTATTCCTTCCTCCCACTTATCCCTTATAAATACTACTCCTTCTACTTCAGGGGGAGGAGAAAAAAAAGAGTAAGGACTCTTCTATTTCCATTCCATTATTAACTTTCCAAGAAAACTAACTTAATCATCGAAGGTATCCCGGGGGAAAAAGCCCCGCCTAGTGTGTGTATCAGGAAAAGAACACCACCAAATCACCTCAATCAGGAAGAGGAGGCATCTGGTCAGCTCGGCTTGATCATCCAGGAACAGTGTCTTCATGTATATATCAACTTTCTTTTCATAGGATGAAGACAAGTTTGCAGTAAATACCAAATACCCACCAGCTACACCTCACATCACCCGTTTTATGTAAATGAACTTTCTTTTTTTTTAATGGAATGAAAATAATTCGGGAATAAGTTTGCAGTAAATACCAAATACCCACCAACTGCACCTCGCATCACCCCGTTTTATGTATATCAACTTTTTTTTTTAATGGAATGGAAATAATTCAGGAATATGTATTAGTTTTCTTACGAGTTTCAATTGGATACTCCTTAAGACATCTAAAGTACACTAAAATTATCATGTGAAAATACATATTAACATTTATTATACCTCCTAAATTGCAACATTTTTTTTTTTGAATTAGTTATACTTTTTAAAAAAAAAAACTAATATCTAGTACTTTTTTAACAAGTGGCCAATAGACACTCGTCAATCAAACCGTAGAATTAGATACCCAAATCTTTTAACCCAAAAAAAGGTCCAATTCAGTCGGGGGGCCAAACTAGGGATGTAAGCGAGGCTACTCGTGAGTAGCTTGGTCAATGGCTTGGTTTAAACTCGATTAAACCGAGTTCGACCAGAGTCTCAAGCTACTCGAGTACACATTCAAGTCGAGTTTGAGTCAGAATTTTGCAACTCGTGGCTCGACGACTCGTCGAGCCATATAATTTAAATAATATATATAATTTAAATAATATATGTATTATAATTATAAAATGACAGTTATGGGTATAATTTATATCGAATTTACAAGTAAGGTATCAAGTCAAAAAGCTTGATTACTCGACTCGATAAGGCTTGACTAAAGGTCGAGCCTTATCGAGTCGAGTCTCGAGCTTTTAAAGATTTTCTCGAGTCAAGCTCAAGTTTGAGATTTTTCGACACAATCGACTTCGAGTCGAGCTCGAGCCAAGTTATTTATAGGTCGAGTCGAGCTCGAGTATAGCAATACTCGAGCTCGACTCGGCTCGATTACATACCTAGGCCAAACAAGCTATATGTCACTCATGTCTGGGGGGTTATATTCTCAGAAGTGATTTTCAAGATATAGGCAGAGTAGTGGACTGTATTAAATTGGGACATCGTAATTCGTAATTTTTATCACAGCAATCTTACTTGAAATACAGGAATTAATGAAAGTTAGGTGCAGTGGACATTATTTAATGTATTTAATAAACTAATAGAGGCCCCTTTGATTCTTGACTCAATTCTTGACTAATGGATGCAAAGAAACAAGTCCCCATAAGAGTTAGGATAAAGTTCGGTACTAAAAAAAACTTTGTAGGAAATTAAACCAAGCTATTTTAGTATTAGTCTCGTAATTCTTTTTGTTGTCTTATTTGTCTAGTTTTCATATTAAATTAGGAAATCTCAATCAGTTTCCAAGTAAGTTTTGATTTACAACTGTATTTGTTTTAGGAAATTTTGGAGTTTATAAATACTAACAGCTTAGTAAGTAATTATTTGAAGTGTTGAGTTGAGTTTTAAGAGTAGGTTTGAGAGAAAATCTCATAGTTGAGATTTGTGAGTTGTTATGAGCGAAAAGCTACGACTTGATATTTATTATTGTTGGGTTTTGAATTAAATAAATTATTGACTATTTGTTTTCTTCCTCTTCCCACATATTTTTATATGTGTCAAAATTGCTTCCGCTGTGCGCGAGGATTTTTGGTGTGCTAACAAGTGGTACCAGAGCTTTAGACTTTGATCCTAGGGCTTGTCCGCAAAATTGGGGCTTAGAGCTTGTTCATGAAATTAAAGTATGGATCCCCATTATTTACAACATTGTCTAGCTTTTATCTTTGATGGTAAAAATAATTTTGAGACTTGGAGGTCGATGATGAAGGATTTTTTCAAAGATATTGGAATTTGGAATATTATCCAAAAGGGATTCACGGAATCTATAACAGGTACAAAGTTATCAAGTGATGCAGTTAAACAATTAGAGAGGAATAAACAATTAAATTACAAGACATTTTACTATCTCAGTACCCAAATCCAGTTACAAGTAGTGAAAAATTCATACATGTAAAGACAGCTAAGGAGGCTTGGAAATTTTTAATAAAATTTTATGGCCATAGTGGAGAAGAAATTTGTGATGAAGAAGAAAAAGAATATTTTGATGAGACAAAGAAAGAAAAAATTGTAGAAATTGTGAGTGCACATGAAGATGAAAAATTTGTGATTCAAGAAGAAATCTCATGTGTGGTTGAGAAAAAAGGTGAAGTCAGTGATGAAGTTAAAGATGTGCCTCAAGATCATAGCAACGTAGAAACTGTAAATTTTGTCGAGATTGATGAAATTTTTGAAGAGAAAAATCAAGTGATGGACTTGGTTGAGATCAATTGTGAGGTGCACAAATTAATTGAAAATTGTGATACTACTAAAGTTGATGCAATTATTAGTGTGAAACAAAATAAAGGAAAAACATGGTGATGTTAAAAACATTGATAGCAACAACTATGATTTTCTGATTTTGGGAGATTTTCTTGGTGACATGAATGAATTAAATTATGGAGTATCTAATGGAGTATGGGTGAGTATGATTGAATTTTTTTGATAAGAGTGATCAAACGAAGAAACTGTTTGAGAAGTACAAGTTTCATCCACTATTGCACGTGAAAATGAAGTTGGACATCAATTGCAAATTGGTGTTCCACATCATCTATTCAGCGACGGAGTTTTTCATGGAGATTCAAGCTTATGATGGCATTGGAAATGACAACATTAAGAGCTTGGTTTAAGGGAGGCAATGTAGGAAATTAAACCAAGCTATTTTAGCATTATTCTCCTAATTCTTTTTGGTGTCTTGTTTGTCTAGTTTCCATATTAGATTAGGAAATTTCAATCAGTTTCCAAGCAAGTTTTGGTTTACAACTGTATTTGTTTTAGGAAATTTTGGAGTCTATAAATACTAACAGTTTAGTAGGTTATTATTTGAAGAGTTAAGTTGAGTTTTAAGAGTAGGTTTGAGAGAAAATCTCATAGTTGAGATTTGTGAGCAAAAAGCTACGACTTGATATTTATTATTGTTGAATTTTGAATTAAATAAATTATTGAGTATTTGTTCTC